AGTCAGTTCTCCCACCGTATTACAGAGGCCTAGTCGAAATCCAAACAAACAAAATAAAGCAGATCTTACGCGTTTGATAGAGCCACATGGATCTCATCCGACCGGTGATTGATGGGGTATAAAACCATACTCCCGTTCTCCCTTCCCTCATTTTTTTCATTTTATTTCTCTCTTTTAACTCTATCTTCTTTCAAACTTTTATCTTTTCTCTCTACTCTCTCTAGACTTCTCTTTCTCTGGCCACCACTAAAACACTCTGACCACCGCCCTCAACCCTAGCTCAGCCCTGCCAACCACCACCTTCAACCGATGTTCATCGTGTTCATCATGAACATGATGAACATCAACCCAAAACTTCAAACATTCATCTAACCATAAGAACCTTAGCCATAAAACTTAACTCTACCTTCAAACCTTCATCTTCTACCTCTACCTAGACGAATCCTAACCCTAGCTTACAAACACTAACCCTAATCGAACCCTAAATCAACCTAAAACAAGTCCAAAACCCATGATTCAACAATCAAAACACTCATCATCTTCCCTAAACATACATTAAACCTCAAAATTAAAATAAAAAACAGTCCAATCTCGAACCTTAAAGCCCTAAGTCCCTTCTGTTAAGCCCAAAATGACATTAATCCAACCCCATAATCCTTCATACACTTCTTGGGCATAGATCAAACATCAACAACAAACAAAACCCTAACCCAAAGCCAAAATTAAAGAACAATCATACCCAAAATTAAACCAAATAACAAAACCCTAACCCAACCAAATTCACAAAAATATTAACCTATGCGAAATTAAAACAACAACACATGTGCATAGTCAAACAAGAATTAAAGAATGAATCACCAACCTTGAGTGTCGTGTCCGTTCAAGCTGCATAAGTTCTCCTTTCCTTCTTCTTATTTATGTTTCATTTTTCCCCTTTTTCTTCTCTTTTGACTTCTTCTGACTTATCCCTCTACTTCTTTCTCTATTGTTGCAAGGTTTCTCTGGAGTAAAGGAGGTCAAGCTCAACCAATTATAGCTTCAGTGTGAAGCTCTAATGCCTTAAGATATGAGCTTCGGTGAGGGTGAAGGAAATTTGGATGCTATTGCGTTTTTATGGTTTTTCTGCTTTCAAATTTACGTCCTTTGTGTATAAATTCTTAGGCTTTTTATAGGTTAAATTAGAGTTTCAAATTCATGTTGATTGATTATATTTTTAGGATGATTGTGTGATTTATGGATGTTTTGAGATTAACTGTAACTTTGAGGACAAGTCTGTGTTGATTTAGGGAATTATCCATGGGTTTGCATATGTGAATCTGATTTTGATGTAAATTGACAATTATCAATTAATGCAAGAATTGTTTGCTTGAGGATTTAATCTGATTTCAACTTTTGATCCGATTTTGGACACTTTTTGAATATTTTTTTTATATTTTTTTCTTGACCTATGGTTGACTTTGACTCGGACTCAAAACAAAAATAAAAATAACAATAACAACAATAATAAAACTATAACTATAAAATAGTAATAATGAATATAATAAAAATAATACTAATACTAATAATAATAGTACTAAGTGACAATATTAAAAGTAAATATAAAATAGACCTAAAAATGGAAAATGATAATAAAAGTGAAAATAAATAAATAACCCAAATAAAAAAGCAAAAATAAATAAATAAAAGATAAGGACAAAAATTCAAAATGTTCCTCCTTTGACTTTTTGATCAATGGGGTTGACCAAAGTCTATATAAAGATGGCTCATATGTAATCCAATGTATCAGATAAAACTGTGATGATTTAGTCAAAGGCCAAAAGGCTCAGACAAAGTCAACTGCCTTAGACATAAACAAATGACTTATAGACCAAGGACTCAGATGAAAATGACTTAAACTAATGAAATGTATCTGATGAAATTAACTTAACTTAGAGAAATAAAAAAACTCAGGCAAGATGACTGACTCAGTGACCTAGGATGATCAGATAAAAATGGTGGATAAAATTTAGGGTATGACTGTATGGATACCATAAAATCTCTTTCTAGATATGTTTTCAATATGCTTGGTACAACAAACAGTTGGAAAATAACACTTACAAAAGTTATAGCCTTATCGACTACTGAAGCTGAATATATTACCCTCACTGAAGCTATAAAAGAAGCATTAAGGGTTTGCTAATGAGATGAAACTTAAAGGTCAAACAATCACAATTAAGTGTGATAGTCAAGTTCCATACATATGTCGAAGAATTCAGTCTATCATGAGAGAACCAAGCACATTTATGTTAGGTTGCATTTCTCCAGGGAGAAAATCAAAAGGGGAGAAGTCAAAGTGATGAAGGTTTCTACTGATGACAGTGATACTGATATAGTTACCATGTCATTGCCAAGCATCAAGTTCTTCCATTGTACACAGTTGATAAAATTTCATGATGATAGTTAGTTTGTTCCCTTCATGTTTTGAAGTTTGTTCCAAGGTCGAGATTTGTACCTTTGGAGTCATAAGCTAGTATTGGATTGAACTCCAATCTCGACAGAGGTAGTTTCAAGATTCGATATGATCGAATGTGCATGATGTAGTTGAAGTCTAATCAAGCATGCAGTAGTCGAAGATAACTTATGTGCTATGTTATGTAGTAGCTATGTATGTCATGCATAAGTGTTATCATCATACATAACATACATATGCTAGTAGTCTATAAATTGGTGGTTATTTTTGTTTCACTTGTAATCATTTAACGCTCAATAAAAAAGTGATTTGAATAACCGTCATAACCAAATGTGTTTTCTACCTCTCTCTCTCTCTCTCTCTCTCTCTCTCTCTCTCTCTCTCTCTCTCTCTCTCTCTCTCTCTCTCTCTCTCTCTCTCTCTCTCTCTCTCTCTCTCTCTCTCTCTCTCTCTCTCTCTCTCTATCTCTCTCTCTTCTCCCTCTTCTTGAATTAAATAATTTCCTATTTGATCAAGAAACTCTCTATTTCTCATAGTTTTACTTCGTTCTTGACATCAATTTCTCAACAATCTCAATTTTATATATTTTTTCTTTAGGACAAGGAAAAGTTAAAGTTCAGAGTTGGGATAATATTGAAACTGAAAGTACTTACTATGACCATAAATATTTAAAAAAAAGTACATAGTAAGTACCAAGTCAGCAAATTGCTTAGTTGTTATTTGACTAGGGTTAATAACAACATAATTTATGGTCTTAAGATTTTTTTTAATATAAAGCTAAACATGCTTAGTGACCAGGGTTCCATTTTTTACGAGAAAATGCATATTCTAAATCAAAGAAATATGAGAAAAAGAAAACCAACATTAGAGAATTAGGTTCCCCGTAGAGATTAGGTTCCCCGTAGAGAAATTTCCCTAATAGTATTAACCATGTGATCCACTAAGTTTTGTTCTCTATAAATGGTTCAAAAAAGGTCATGATCCGCGAGACAATTAATTAATTTAATTAATTAACCCTAGTTGGTAATCAATTTTAAAGATTTTAAAATAAGACAACCCGGATCCAAAATGGAAACTGTAAAATGACTATATGACTTAAATGATTAACAACTTTTTTTAATCTATTAAGTGGTTTTTCACCTTACTCTAATCGATTAGACCAAATCCTTAATCAATTAGGCAATGTGTAAACAATTCCTTACTTGATTAGAAATACTTCTTAATCAATTTCATATAAGCCTTGATAGATTTTCAAGAAGTTTTATGAAATTAGAGAGGGTTTGAAAAAAAAACTGTGTGTGCATGATTGATTTAGTACTTCAAGACTTACTTTTGACCTTTTATAATTAAATTGATCAGTCTACATATGCTAAGCGCAAGACCAACCAAGTTTTCATATTTTCTCTTTTTCCAGATCCATTGCTTGGTTCATCAACTTGATTATCAATTCAATTGGATTCTTGAATTGTCTGAATGATGATACATGAAATATCTTCTTGATCAAGTGTCATCATCAGGAGCTTTACTTGAGAAGTGAAATCAACTCATTTGATCACAAAGAACTCTCAACATCCATAAGGCATTTGACTTGTGGAGTTGTCACAACATCCAAAAGTCCTTTGACTTATGAAGTTGTCATCTTTAAAATCGTTTCATTTGTTGTCATCATCAAAACCAACTAACGATTATACCTACAAACACATACAAACACATAGACCCACAATACTCAACCTCAACTTGACTAGCCATGTCACATTTATCCTTATTTTAACCATTTAGGTCATACTTAGTCTCAATCTGACCATTCGAGTCAAATTCAACATCAACTTGACTAGACAAGTCATACTTAACTTCACTTTGAACATTCAAGTCAAATTCAATCTCAACTTGATCATTCAGGTTAGACTTAACTTCACCTTCTACTCGATCATTTAGATCAACTCGACATTAAATTACTACTATTCAAGAGAAAATTGTGGCTCCCTTGGAAAGCTCACTCTAACTTGTGATGCATCCTACACCGCAATGTGAAAAAAGATAAGCAAAAGTGTCTTGTAGGAACAACCAACATTTTGAAACACCCTTAAAAGAAGAAATCGATCTAATATCCTAAAACCCTAAAATTTTATACGTAAATATTCATTTTTATTTTATTATAGTTATATAAATGTACAATAAATTAGTTAAAATAATTAATCTAACGAAATATTGTTATATGAGGAATGAAACATCTAATCGGGATTGGTTATCAATCTTTTCGAAGTTGCACCTACGTTTCCTTCTCTTAAATGAATAATAATTAGTGTTGCTCATCATTACACTCTCCCTCTCTTATTTATTGTGATACACACACCAGCTAAGTTCCATCACATCCTTAAATAAGGGCACTATCTATCTACCTACCTGCCACTGCCAAGTCCCAACCCACACCTCACCTTAATACTTCTTCTTCTCACCTGTATATCCCTGAGTTCAACAGCAAAATTCTTCACATTCCTTCCTTCCTTCAAAGGTTGTTGATGATTTAACATACCATGATGAGGGATTCTTCATGTTGTCTTTGCAAAGGGTTGTTTACAGAGTTCATTGGCATTCTGTCCACCTCCACTTTCTTCCCTCCTCTCACTCTCTATGTAGATTTGTTGGAGGTGGACATACTGCCAACAGATCTCTGTTAGCTTCTCTTTGTAAAGCCTTCCTGAGATACATATCTATTATTTCTATGAGATCAGAACCAGCTTTCTGCCCTAGCTCACTTTTCTTTATACTCCCCTCCCCTTTATTTTTACTTATATGCAGACTCGGGTTTTTGTGTTCTTCATCTTAATTTGCAGGAACTCATTGCTATATAGTATGAAACTATCAACATACATGGATACTTTGATCAGATCAGAATCGTAAAACCCTAGCTAAAGTTCATGTTTTATCCTGGCTTGAATCTCCAACTTTATCCTTCCTTGGATGTTTACACCAATCTAAAGTGTAGTTTTTGGTTGGATGTTGATGTAAAGTCTAGTATACTTTTTGGAAAGAAAGTGTAGTCCTTTTAAGTTTGGTATTATTAAATGTAGAATATTAATGATCATGTCCTTTATTGATAGATGAATCTGAAGGTAATATTCCGTGTTCTGACATGACATGGTTGATATCTTTATTCATGTAGTTGATCATTTGATTAGATGACAAAAAGTGAGAAAGGAGATATGAAGATCCATCATAGTTCATACATTCCTGACACTATATTATTATTATATAGCTAGGTTGCTGCTTTGGGTTTGTTCTTCGAACAAAGTGCAGTGCAGCTAGTTTAAGGGTCATGGTGTAGAGTTGAGTTGAGTCGAGTACGCTATTTGTTTATAGGCTCCATCCACGAGTTCTCTCTCTCTCTCTCCTTCAAGGTAGCTAGCTACCCTCATCATTGCATTTTGACATTCAACAAAAAGTACACTCCTTCAAACCGAGCGCGTGACAAGTTATAATATAATTGCTTTGCTTCATTCCAAGTAAGGACATATCTAGCACATATAAGTCATGTTATTTGAATTCTATAAAGACATACTAGAACATAATCAATTTTTTTCGTTAGAGTTGTCTTATGGTGTAATGTGTTGTGTTAAAAGTGTTAATTCAACAATATATTTTTATCATTTCTTTGTAATAATTTTGAAGACTTAACTTTAATTTAGTTTTTGAGCTAAGCAGCCTGTACATTATTTCTTTGGAATAGTTTTGAAATTTAGAAATTTAACTTTGATTTAGGTTTTGACTTAAGTCGGTATAAAAGCTCTATTTATTTTTGAAAACTCATGTTATTTTAAAGGATTGTTTGGCTTGAATCTATAAAAGTTCAACTCTTATTTATCTGTCTTTTCCCTTCTCTATCTTTCTTGTTGCTTCATATATGTTTTTTATTTATTCTAAAAAAATATTTTATTGTGAATTATATTCGAATTAAGAAAATAAAATTTATACAAAAATAAAAAATAAAAGGTAAGTATGTAATAATTTATTTTACTATTTATTTTTAGATGGTAAAACTGAGAGAAATTTTCTACAATAATTAGGTTTTACGACCAACATATTTAAATGATTATGTTTTTATAAAATCACATAAATAATTAAGTTTCTAATTTAGATTAAGTGGACATGCCATCTCATATGGTACAGGTATGTAAATTTTAAAAAGACGTGCCATATAAGATGACACATAGGTTCATTTTGTTTTTAAAAAGTCATTTCATTTGACGTACGCATGTAAATTTAAAAGTGACACGTCATATGAGATGGCATAGGTGCAATGGTGATGTTATATGAGATGACTTCCAAGATATAAAATGAACCTATGTGCCCTCTCATATGGCGCATCCCTTTAAAATTTACATACATGCGCTATATGAGATGACTTCCCAAAAACAAAATGAACATATGCGCCATCTCATATGACGCATCCCTTTAAAACTTACATGCATGTGCCATATGAGATGGCGTGTCCACTTAATCCAAATCTCAAACCTGATTATTTGCGTAATATTTTTAGAAACATGGTTATTGAGGTATTTTAATTGTAAAAATTGATTTTTGCTATTAAAAAATCGTAAAACTAATCCTTTTAAAAATAATATTCATAGACTTAAAAGATATAATATTAAAAGATCAATTGCTTCTAGTGATAGGAAATCAAAAGTGTAAAATCAAATGTTAAAATTAATCCTTTTAAAAATTATATCCATAGACTTAGAAGATACTCTCTCTAGGGATATCAAATGTTCTTAACACCTTTAAGATCTAAACACTAACTGCAAGAAAAACAATCTTCTTCAATGCACACACTTGCTTTCAACAATCCTGGATAGCAAGGGGAGTAATAATGTATTCTGAATTTTTACAAGAGATTTTGAAATATGATACACTATATCAATCTTGGATTGATCTTATCTTTCAATACCAATAATTCACAATAACTTAAGAGTTAAATTGCTCAAGAATTTCTGTTTTATGTGATGTGAAAATATGCAGAAAATTCTTGAATGAAAGATGAACACTTGAATTATAAATTTTGAAATTTAGGCAAAATTTGATTGAAAGATGTATATTTTTTAAATATGAAAAATCAAGTATTTATATGTTCATAACACCCCTTTGAAACATCATAAGTTTATTCAAAATAATCATGAACAATTGCAAATATTAAATGAAAAGATTCCATGAAGTGGTGTATGAAGAGGTGTGCAAAAAGTTACTGGTTTTTCAAATTTTTTCAATGAACAATCGATTGCATCTTTGTGCAAATCGATTGCATAGTCTTTAACAGACAAAAAAATCAAATAACTTTCAGTGAGCAATCGGTTGCTCTTAAGTGCAAATCGATTTCACATCAAGTCAGTAACTTAAAAATGAAAAAATATTTGTAATGTTCAGTGAGCAATCGATTTGCATTAAGTGTAAATCGATTGCACTTAGAAAAGTTTCAGATTTTTTCTTTAAGAAACTTGTGAAAGTATGTGAGTATGTTATGCAATTATTTTTTGACCTTTGAGCATCTAAGACTAGAGTATTTGGTAAGAATTGTCATTATACCTTCTAAAAATTCTAATTGCTTGAATCAAAGTCTTTAACATGATGCTTTTAGCTTGACTAACATCTTTGCCTTCTTGCCATAATGATTTGTCTTCATCAAAACAAAATTCTTCATTGAGAATCTTGATTTCACAGTCTCCCCCTTTTTGACGATGACAAACACTCTTCTATGATGCGTATTTCCGAAAAAGAAATGCTTCCCCCCCTAAGATATATAACTCCTCCCTCAATATATGAAGCTAGGAGTATTTTGTCTTAAACCTTTTTGGTGGAGCTTTGAGTTATTTGATCTAAAAAGAGAGAAAATACAAGCATACATGTAACACCTTTCTCCCCCTTTGACATTATCAAAAAGAAGGGAAAGATGGGTGAAATATATGACATATAATATGGGAAATTCATAAAACATTGAAATATACCAAATAAGTACAAGAGATAAACATCACACAAGCATTCAAAATTAGAAAAACACACAAAAATTCATGGTATAATGTACCTTACAATTCAACATAAATATCAAAAGACTTCATAGTTCAAAATAGCTAAGCATAATTAAAAGAACAGTAAATTTAAAGCAACAAAGACAAGAACAAGATAGCATAATCATTGTTCAAGCATATTTACTGCATTTATCCATATAGTAAACATGAATAAGAAGGAGTGGAAGTAGAGATACTCTAAATAAATTGCAAAAATAAATAGTTGAGATAAGAATGTATGTGCACATAAGATGAATGATCTTTGAGAGATTCATACATCATTCTCATCCAAAATTCTCAATTCTCGTCGAATTGTGTAAAACGGTTATTTTGCGAGCAGTTTTTTGAAAATATCTGCTAATTGATTATGAGTGTCAATGAAGGTTACTTCAACATATCCTTGAAGCACATGATCACGAAAGAAATGATGTCGAATGTCAATGTGTTTGGTTCTTGAGTGTATGACCGGATTATTTGTAATATTAATCGCACACAACTACCAGCTGCCACATACTCCACCTCGGTCGTTGACAAAGCAACGAAAACTTGCTTTTTACTACGCCAACTAACTAAGGATTTTGAAAACATGTGACAAGTTCCACTAGTACTTTTCCTATCCAATTTGCAACTGACAAAATTGGAATCGAAGTAACCAACCAAGTTACAATCGTTTCCCTTGGAATACCAAAGCCCAAACTTAGATGTACTAATAAGGTATCAAAGAATGCGCTTAACCACTCTTAAGTGTGATTCCTTAGGAACTCATTGATATTGTGCACACATACAAACACTAAACATAATATCAGGCCTAGATGCGGTAAGATAAAGAAGAGATCTAATCATACCTCTATATATTTTGAACTCAACATCCTTACCCTTTTCATATATATCCAAGTTACCGTTTGTTTCCATAGGTATGTCAATTTCCTTTGCACCTTCCATACCGAATCTTTTAAGTAATTCGAGATAATACTTGGTTTGACATACAAATGTTCCTAAATCGAGTTGCTTAATTTGTATCCCAAGAAAGTAGTTCAACTCTCCCATTAGAATCATTTAAAACTCTCTCTGCATAAGCTTAGAGAACTCCTTGACAAGATAGTTGATCTAAAAATGATGTCATCAACATAAATTTGAACAAGTAAAATGTGTTTTCTTTAACGTTTAATAATGAGTGTAGTGTCTATATTCCCTATAGAGTATCCTTGTTCTTGCAAGAACTTTCTAAGTCGGACATACCATAACCTAGGGTCTTGTTTAAGACCACACAAAGCACTTTTTAGTTTAAAAAAATGATTATGATCATAATTTTCAAAATCGGGAAGTTGTGAAACACACACATCTTCACTTATGTATCTGTTAAGAAACACACTTTTCACGTCCATTTGATATAATTTGAAGTTCTTATAGCATGCATACTGTTGTACCCAAAATTTTTCCCTCTCATTTATCTAGAATTTGCTCACAAGATCTCCTTGGGCTCAAAACTGCACTAGGGTTTGATCAGCTCAAGACACCTCCTTATGCACTGATGACCAAAATTAGGGTTTGAGTTTGCACAATGATTTTTGAACTATAAATGCTTCATATGACTTTCATGGACCATTATGGACCCCCAAGATTACTCATTCCAAGTTTCAAGCCTTGGATCACTCTTTTGCTCAGTCAATTGAACAGTTGACCTAAAAATCAATTGTATTGAGAAAAAGTCAACTATGGCCAATTTACAATCAAACTTCATAATTTTTGATCCACATCAATATTTTAGATT